GCATGGCTTGGTGGGCGTGGCAGGGGAAGGATCTCCAAATCCCCATTCCCACCCCACTCTGGGACCAGCCAGAGGCGGTATTTGCCAGTTCTCTGTACTACTCATAATTTCCGCTGCTGGTTCTCCGAACTGCTCAAAATTTCCGCTACCAGTTCTCCAGAACCTGTCAAAACCTGCTGGATTTCACCCCTGCTTGTCTGGTCTTCGGGTGTCTTGGAAAATAACTTGACCTCCTCCTCTCTGTGGCAGCCCCTCAAATATTGGAAGACTGCTATCCTATCTCCCCTGGTCCTTCTCTTCACTAGACTAGCCAGGCCCAGTTCCTGCAACCGTTCTTCATGTGCTTTAGCCTCCAGTCTCTTAATCATCCTGGTTGCTCTTATCTGCACTCTTTCTAGAGACTGAACCTCTTTTTTTATAGTTTGGTGACCAAAACTGGATGCAGTATTCTAGGTGTGGTCTTACTAAGGTTTTATAGAGTGGTGTTAGTACCTCACGTGATTTTGACTGAATCCCTCTGTTACACACAATGTCCCTGTTTCACGCTGCCAGTGAAGAAAGCAGCAGATGTTTCATCTTTGAATGTTTCTGACCTCACTTCTGTTCCACTCCATCTACCTGGGCAGGTTCTGATCTCTCAGCAGCTGTGGAACTGACACCTGATTGCTTCCTGGCCATGTTTGAGTATAGCTCCCCAAGCATGTCCAGAGGAAAAGCATAGGGAAGGTCCAAGAGAAGAAGAAACATCAACATTGAAAGCCTGGCTAAAAACAACAACTGGGGGGCCCATATATTTATCACATGGGGTACTTGCCCTGGGGAACAGTCTTACAACATTGTTTTAGGTCACATTGTCCATCTCTATTCTCTATAGAGAAACGAGATTGATTTCCCTGTTTTTGTACAAAGTCCAGTGTGACGCCTTTGGGTTGTATAACCTCCGAGCCCATCTGACTCCAAAGTGCCTTCTATTTGTCTTTCCCACTCGATTACAGCAAATGCACTTTCCGTTTCTGCAGATAAGTACAATCCTGCTATCTCTACTAAGCCTCCACTTGGTTTTCCCGAACCCCCTCCATTAATGCGACCGAGGCCTGGACTTCCTTATCGACCGTAAATGTTTTCTGGTTCTGCCAGTTGTCACCTGGAGAGCTCTCACAGGGCTTATTCAGAGGAAAAAGGAAGGAATTGACGGAAGAGAAAAGATACAGAAGGCACCTAAATGGCCTCTCCCAGGCTAAGTCACAGCACTCAATCATTAAACAGGACTAGGCCCATCAGGAGATCCCAGGGCTGGGATCAAAAATGATCCCAGATCAGGGGTGAAATCCAGCAGGTTCTAACAGGTTCTGGAGAACCGGTAGTGGAAATTTTTGAGTAGTTCGGAGAACCGGCAAATACCACCTTTGGCTGGCACCAGAGTGGGGTGGGAATGGCGATTTTGCAATATCCTTTCCCCAGGAGTGGGATGGTAATGGCGATTTTGCAATATCCTTTCCCCAGGAGTGGGGTGGGGATGGAGATTTTGCAATATCCTTCCCCTCCCACACCCACCAAGCCACGCCCACAGAACCAGTAGGGAAAATTTTTGAATTTCACCCCTGTCCCAGATACAGGAAAGGACAAGGGACAAAATCCTCAGGGATGGACCCATGAAGTCACCAAGGGTTGCATTTATTTTAAAAGGGACCCTACCTTTACAAACATTAGAAAATACTAGAGATTAGTGCTTGCTTTATTTATTTATTTTTTCCTTTCTCTCACACTAACAATTACTATTTTGGAAAAATACTGCTTTGGAAAAAGTGCAAAGAAGAGCAACTAAGATGATTAAAGTCAGTGGTGAAATCTAATTTTTTTTTACTACCCGGTTCTGTGGGCATGGCTTGGTGGGCGTGGCAGGGGAAGGATACTGCAAAATCCCCATTCCCTCCCCACTCTAGGGCCAGCCAGAGGTGGCATTTGCCGGTTCTCCGGACTACTTAAAATTTCGTTACCAGTTCTCCAGAACCTGTCAGAACCTACTGGATTTCACCCCTGATTAAAGGCCTGGAGACCAAATGGTTGTAGGATTTGGGTATGGCTAGTCTACAGAAAAGAAGGATTAAGGGTGAGATGATAGCAGTATGCCAGTATTTGAGGGGCTGCCACAAAGAAGAGGGGGTCAACTTATCTTCCAAAGCACCAGAAGGCAAGACAAGAAGCAATGGATGGAAATTAATCAAGGAGTTTTCTCCTAAAACTCAAGAGAAACTTCCTGACAATTAACCAGTGGAAGGGATTGCCTTCAGAAGTTGTGGGTGCTCCATCACTGGGGGCTTTAAAGAAGAGACTGGATCGCCCTTGCCTCAAATGGTATCCGGTCTCCTGCTCGAACAGGGGGATGGACTAGAAGACCTCCAAGGTCCCTTCCAGCTCTATTCTGACTTGACTTGAATTTGTTAACAACTTTTGAAGGTCTCCAATCAAAGCTTTTAGGAATCAGTTCAGCTCTGGGCACCTCTGCATCAGGTGCATATCCTCCCCTAGAAATAATAACATATCTTGTTTTGATGACAATTTACATTTATGAATTTTTTTAAAAAAAATAGTTTGGGCCTACTAGAGTGAAGTCCTGCATGTGCCGCCATGTCAACATCTGTCTGAAGATTAAAGAGCATCAGTGTTCTCTCTTCAGCCCAGACATTCCTCAAAAGGTCTCTGAGTGGTACCCCATCCTCCTTCCCAGTCCCTGCCAATTTGGTCGGATGCTAAAATCAAATGATGATTTAGGGGATAAGAGAATTTAGACAGGAGCGGGGAATGAACATAAAAAGGAAATAAAAGGTTTATGAACTGATTTTAAAATGAATATTTTTTAAAACTTATTTTCTCCTGGATACACATGCTTTCTGTCTTGCCCTTATTATTCTCTTTAAAAAAGGCATCCGATCTTCACCATAAAAGAGCCCTGCCACCCCATTCCAGATAATTGTGGCATGCTGGGCAGAATCTATGAAAAAGTCCCCACCAAGTGAGCAGCATTTAATTCTAACTCAGTGGAAACAAGCAGCCCAAATCTCTTCAGTTATCTCTGTGGACACGATGGATTTGCAGGGTTTATTGGCTTGTTTACAAGTTTACAAGCTTCCTTATCAGGCACTTACAAAATGTCAGCGCTGGGTGGGAGCAAAGGTTCCCCTGAGTTGTATTGCAAACATTCCCGTAGCTGGGGCAAACAAATGTGGGCATGATTGGGGATTCAGAGCTGGCGAGGGGGCTGCTGTCATTGTCCTAAACGTATTCCTTGTTTTTTTGAGAATGGAAATACGTTTTTCATTCTGCAAAAACACAGAATGACGTTTAAGAGCAACGCTTATAAAGGGCTCCGCCCGCTTAAGGAAAAGAAAGCGGCTGGGGGGAAGACCAGGCTGTACCTAAGGAAAGAAATATGCATTGCAATTACAACAACCAACAGGAAGTACCTGCACAGGTAGTCATTCAAATAAAGGAGAATATTTGTAGCTTCAGGATGGATGGATGGATGGATGGATGGATAGGTAGGTAGGTAGGTAATGATGATAGATAGAAAGATAGATAGATAGATAGATAGATAGATAGATAGATAGATAGATAGATAGATAGATAGATAGAGACAGACAGACAGACAGACAGACAGACAGACAGACAGACAGACAGACAGATAGATGATATAGATGAATAGATAATATAGATAATAGATAGATAGATAGATAGATAGATAGATAGATAGATAGATAGATAGATAGATAGATAGATAGATAGATAGATAGATAGAATATATGATAAATGAGAGAGAGAGATGATAGATGATATGATTAGGGAGAGAGAGAGATGGATGGATGGATAGATAGATAGATAGATAGATAGATAGATAGATAGATAGATAGATAGATAGATAGATAGATAGATAGATAGATAGATAGATGATAAATAGAATAGAATAGAACAGAACAGAACAGAACAGAACAGAATTTTTTATTGGCCAAGTGTGATTGGACACACAAGGAATTTATCTTTGGTGCATATGTTCTCAGTGTACATAAGGAGAATAAAATATATTCATCAAGAATAAAAAGATACAACACTTAGTGACAGTCAAGGTTACTAATAAGCTATAAAATTGTGCTAGGAAACAAATAAAAACAATATAAATTGAAAGATACAAGCAACATGGTTATGGTAATAAGTGGGAAGAGATAGATACTAGTAAGGAAGAGAAGAATAATAGTAATACAGTCTTAGTAAATTATTTGACAGTGTTGAGGGAATTATTTGTTTAGCAGGGTGATGGCATTCGGGAAAAAACTGTCCTTGTGTCTAGTTGTTCTGGTGTGCAGTGCTCTATAGCGTCGTGAGACTTGGAGGTCTCACAGAAGACCTCCAAGGTCCCTTCCAACTCTGTTATTCTATGTTCTATGAGTAGGGATGACTTTGAAGGTATGATGTCTCCTGCCTTGAGCAGGGCTTGGACTAGAAGACCTCTGAGACTCCTTCCAGCCCTACGATTCTATATTCTACGGGAAACCAAAATTAACCTCCAACTTAATTTTGCAACAGCGCTGCTTCAATCCAAGTCATCAAATAATCTCTGCAGCATAGATGTAATTATCACGTTATTAATAAAATCTTCTTCAAAAGTTGGGCATCCCAAAAGTAGATTCTTAGATGAAAAAGAGACTGACCACAAGGGGACTTCTTGATACCAAGGACATCCAAAATGTTCTGTGTTGTCTAATTAAACTCTTCACAGAGATGAAAACAATCTATGGGTTTTAAAAAATACGTCCTTCCCAACCAGCAGACAGATCTGGGGTATCTAAGAAAAGGGAAAGTTTCCCTTGAGTCAGACAGAACTCCTAGGATATTCTTTTAATTGTGTTAATATACCTAACAGAAAGTAAACAAGAAAGAAAAGAAAAATGTTAGAAACACAAAAGGAAATAGAGGAGAGAAAAAACAAAAGAGAAAGAACACGTTACTCATAGGATATCCTTCTTTATTATTTTTAAGCACCTCATGAATCCCTGTTCGATAATATTGATTACAGACTCAGTTCGTGAACAAAGAGAGAACACATATTAGGACTAGAAGATCTCCAAGATCTCTTCCAACTCAGTTATTCACTTAGTCAAGACAAGAAACGATGGATGGAAATTAGTCAAGGACAGAAGCAACCTAGAACTAAGGAGAAATTTCCTGACAGTCAGAACAATTAACCAGTGGAACGGCTGGATTCCAGAAGTTGTGGGTGCTCCATCAATGGAGGCTTTAAAGAAGAGACTGGGTAGCCACTTATCTGGAATGGTAAAGGGTTTCCTGCCTGACCAGGGGTTTGGACTAGAAGTCCTCCAAGGTCCCTTCCAACTCTAACAACTCTGCTATTCAAATAGTCAGTAAATGATTAGTCATAAATTGAGGACTACGTTCATCATGCATATCATGCCATCATTCTGATTCCCAAGGATGTCTCTGCACCCACAGGAAGCCAAGAAGTATTCTTAGGAAATAAAATGGCACATGGCCGTTTTTTGGATCGCCCCCCCCCCATCTTTTCTTTGAAACATATAAAGGTAAAGGTTCCCCTCGCACATATGTGCTAGTCGTTCCCGACTCTAGGGGGCGGTGCTCATCTACGTTTCAAAGCTGAAGAGCCAGCGCTGTCCGAAGATGTCTCCGTGGTCATGTGGCTGGCATGACTCAACACCAAAGGCGCACGGAACGCTGTTCCCTTCCCACCAAAGGTGGTCGCTATTTTTCTACTTGCATTCTTTTACGTGCTTTCGAACTGCTAGGTTGGCAGAAGCTGGGACAAGTAATGGGAGCTCACTCCGTTACACGGCGCTAGGGATTCAAACTGCTGAACTGTCGACCTTTCAATCGACAAGCTCAGTATCTTAGCCACTGAGCCACCATGTCCCTCTTTTGAAGCATATCCTCTGCCTCAAAAGAAGGTCAAGTATTCTGAGAAGTGATGGACGGAGTCCTTGAAGCGGTGGGATGGTAATCAGCCTTCCCAATTTGTCTTCTGGCCAAGAGGTCTTTTGCAACTGGTCTTAGCCAGTTAGTGGGGGAATGTGCAAACTCTCCTCCCTGGCAGCCGTTTTGTGAGAACTCCTCAGCAGGATCCCAAAGATCTGGGATTTTGTCTCCATCACAACGTTGGAAAAAGTTGTAAGCCTAGTAGCACCTATTTATAAGTTAACGCCACTGGGGCCCTGGACACAGAATAGGACAACTCACCATGGCCAATTCAGCACAGGATAACTCACTGCAGGACAATTCAACAATTCAATTCAATTATTTTAAAATATATTTATTCCACCATTTATTTGATATTAATGTATCTCTTATACTGCAGCAAGTTTTCCCACAGCAAGTTGGCCATGGTGAGTTGGCCATGGCAAGTTGGCCATGGTGAGTTGGCTGTGGCACATTGGTTATGGCAAGTTGGCCGTGGCGAGTAGCATAGACCCCCATGGGGAAGGCAAGCAGCTCTGTGGCTTCAGTTCATGGAAAAGCACCATTTGAAGAGTAGACAGTCCACCTCTGCTACTTTAGTTTTGGGCTGGAGTTCCTTCTACAGCAGGCTTAATTAGGTGGCCGTTGAAGATAATATAGATGTCCGACTCCTCGCTGTAGATTGCGTTCTCCCGCTCCCGCTTGAACATTCGTACCCAGACCTCATCTCCTTCCAGGAGGTCCAGCATGAGGCTTTGGCTCTGCATGATGCTCCTCTCACTGGGTTGACAGTAGAGGATCGCCACTTGGTCTTCATTCTTCATGATGTGCAGGTAGGTCTCCTTGTAGTTCCAGGTGTGGACGTTCAGGTTGAAGAAGTAGATCCCAGGAACGTAGCAGAAGAAGCTGCCAGTAAACATGTTGAAATGCTTGTAGAGGTTGACAAACTCTGTGTCGAAAGTAACCCGTTGGTAGTAATCCAAACTGTGGAGGGGTTTGCTGCGTCCAATCGAAAAGGCAGCGTAATGCTGTTTGCAGGAGTGGCCGGTGGGCCCCACCTGACCTTTTTGTCCTTTCTGGCCATGGGATCCCTGCAGGCCTGGCTCACCTGATTTGCCTTCGAGCCCTGCAAGTCCTCGTTCCCCCATGTCACCTTTTTCTCCTACAGAGACAAGAAGGAATAAGGTGTCACAAATTTAGATGGTGTGAAAACCATAAATCGGCTGCCCTGCCTATTTTTTTTTTTTTCAGTTCTCTTTTCCTGCAAAAGAGGGCGCTGTGGGAGTAGGGATTTGGCTTTCTTGGTTGGATTATTTTGGGCTGATTTAAGAGCTGGAGGTGATAGAGCAGGGGTCTCCAACCTTGGCAAATTTACGACTTTGCTAGCTGAGGAATTCTGGGAGTTGAAGTCCACAAGTCATAAAGTTGCCAAGGTTGGAGACCCCTGTGATAGACGAGATGGTTCCCAGTCATAGAGCTAGGTGGCTGGAAAGGACCTTGGAGGTCTTTGTTCTGACCTAGCCTTCACAAACAATGGGAAACTACTTACTCACGAGTAAAACAACCCCCTTTTTTTCTTAAAACAAGGCATGAACAGTCTTTATTGGATAGACATTGGCTAGACAAAACAAAAAATAGTCACAAATGAGAGTCTTTTCTCCTTCTGAAACAGGGCAAGAACAGTCTCAGTTCACATGAGAACTCAAGATTTTAAATTCATTGAAAGTCCTTCAATGATTAAGCCAAGCAGAAACAGTCCCTGTTCACACCGGCTGAGGCAAATGTACCACCTGTCAGGTTTCAGCCTTCTCCTCCTTATGTCAGCACTGGAACGAATGTAGCATGGAGTGCTGACACCACCTATTGTTTCCCAGCAGGGAGATTCAGTTGGCCACTCAAATATAGAGCAATTAGTCCCAACAAACCTGGTTCTGGCAAAGGAATCCGACTTGATGGATGTACACTGGAAAACGAATGGTTGCCTATGATAACAGGCCATTCCCAAACCCCTCCTATTTATTTCCCAGCCAGGGAAGGCTGGCTAGCGTCTACGACTTCTTTTTCCTGAGAGCCAGCTTATTGGCTTCCGTTGCTCTCCTCTCCTCTCTATGCATACGTGCATGTGGGATGAGTCCCCTCACTCAGCTCAGGCCCCGAAGACAGCTTCCTCTCCACCCGGGGGTGGACAGAAGGCCCCCGGCTCTGCATCTGCTTCTGCTTCCTCATCAGAGCCTTCCAAAGTCTCCGAAGCTGGCCCAGGCCACCCCCTCTCAATCTCCTACTCATCTGACTCTGCTGCTAGCTCTGCTGGCAGCTGACAAGCCATAATAGTCTTGTGGTCTAAACATCCTGCTGAGAAAAGACCGCACTGCAGGACTCCTTTCCCGGTATCCAGTGGTGGGATTCAAACATTTTTACTACTGGTTCTGTGGGCGTGGCTTGGTGCGCATGGTCAGGGGCTGTGACAGGCAGCACTCAGCCTCCTGCATCCCCCAGGGAGCAAAAACGGGCTGGGGGGGAACGCCCCCCTCCCCGCTCCCAGTTTTGGGCCTAGAAGGCCTTCCTGAAGCCTCCTGGAAGCGAAAACTGGCCATGGGGAGTGGGGCTCACCACCCCCCATCCCGTTTTGAGCCTAGAAGGCCTCCCTGAAGCCTCCTGGGAGCGAAAATGGGCCGGGGGGACATGCAGCCCCCCCACACCCCATTTTGGGGCTAGGAGGCCTCCCTGCACTTACCTGGGAGCCAAAATGGGGCATGTGGGGACTCCTGGAAGGGGCAGGGCAGGAAGGGGTGGGGCCAGCCAGCAATTTAACTATCAGTTCGCCTGAACTGGCCCAAACCGGCTGAATCCCACCACTACTAGCATCAGTGGTAGGTTGCCCCCGGTTTGGACCAGTTCGCAAGAACTGGTAGTAAAACCGGTGGGAGTCCCCACCTACCGCCCCAGATGTCATCATCAGTGATCTGCGTGTGCAATCCCATTATGAACCGGTGGTAAAGGTAAGTAGAACCCACTCCTGACTAGTATCTCTCCTGAATGGAAGGATAGGAAATCAGGAAGGCCACAAACTATCAAAGAGTTGTTCAAACAGGTAATCCTTGACTCCAAGTTGTAAAGTCATGACAGCTGTAAAGCAGGACAGCATGTGACTGGCCCAACTTACAAACTAGGGCAGGGGTGGGCAACCTTTAAACCTCAAAGAGCCACAAAGGTCCTAACCGGAAGCCCCCTTTCAATTATGGAGCCGACCGGAAGTCCAGTTCCCCCACCATAGAGTCTCCACTTAACGTAGCATCCTTTTTCCTCTGCTGACCTGAAGTCCGGTTCCCCCACCATAGTGTCTCCTCCTAGTGCGGCGCCCTTTTTCCTCTATCTGTCCTAACCGAAACCCCTATCAATTGTAGAGCCGACCAGCAACAAGGAGCCGCAGCAGAGGGATGAAAGAGCCACATGCGGCTCCAGAGCTGCGGTTTGCTGACCCCTGAACTAGGGAGAGACGAAGTGAACACATTTGCAAACATAAGAACATGAGAGAATTGTCATATTCACCTAATCCTATTAGTTGGGATTTTTAAAAGTGATTGATCTGTGCATACTTCATTGCAATCCGTAATGCTTAATGAGAATGGCCTTGGAAGACCAGGTGAAGAGATACTGCTGGGAGAATGTTAAGATAAGAAACAGCTGGATGATGGGTGGGGGAAGAGACCCAGAAGGGACTGCCCCTGAGTTAATGGGCCATAAAAGTGATGGTGGAATAATTGTATTTTCAGATTGGCATGATTCTGTAATGTAGCTTTACAATAAAGTGGAAGTAGCTTGTATGGCTGTGTGTAGGAGATGACAAGCCTGAGCCCGAGGGAGGGGTCAAACACATCATCAGTCTCGAGTCCCTTTGCACCCACAAGAGATCTAAGTCCATCCCACCTTGAATTCCATTTGACTCTTATCTACTGCAAATTGGCTTTGACTGTCAACAGTTCAGATTCTTATAGAGAGCTTAAGCTTGCAATAAACCTTTATAGACCGTATTTTTCAGAGTGTAAGATGCACCTTTTTTCCCTCTAAAAGAGGGTGAAAATTTGGGTGCGTCTCATACACGAAATGTAGTCCCGCCCACCCGCTGGCCCCCACCCTTTGGCCTCTGCCTCCCAGCAATTTACCTTCTTGAAGCAAGCAGCAAACAGCAAACAGCCCGTTTCAGTTTCAGCACAGCCTGATTAGCACAAGTAGCTGATTGTCAGTTGGATCAGCCTCCCGAACCTCAGCTGTTTCAGGCTGCGGGGATTGCCATTCCCTATTGCCGCACAGGCCTCCGCTGTTTACTGCAAGGAGGCAAATTGCTGGGAGGCAGATTTTTTTTTCTTGCGCTAATCAGGCTGTGCTGAAAATGAAAATGAAACTAAATCAGGCTGTTTGCTGCAAAGAGGCAAATTGCTGGGAGGAAGAGGCAGATTTTTTTTCTTGTTTTCCTCCCCAAAAAAGGTAGGTATGTCTTATAGTCCAGAGTATTTTATACTCCAAAAAATACGGTACATTTGGACTGCCTGAGTTTCCTGACTGCTGTGCTTGATGCTGTGTTTCCTATCTGGTCTACCTGAGATGGTTGACACAAGAAGAGATACTGATCAGAGCTTTGCAGAAAGTGAGGGGGGACAGGATTTTAGAAAGAGATTGCTTGCCTTTTAAGATGTGGATATCGATGGTGGGCTGGATCTTAGGGATCATGTAACGAGAGTCGCTGGTCATCCGTGCGAATCGGGAAGTGGTGATAGAAGCCGGCTGCTCGTCCTGCCCGCAGCATCGTACACACGGTGGAGCCCTCCAAACTCTCTTCTTTGGGGGTGCCTTTTCCCCTGGAAGATGGCTGGCATGCAGAAAACATACCAAGAGCAGGAGGAAGGTGGGATGCATCTTTAACTGACCAAAGAAGACAGGGTAAGTGGTTTTAAAAAAGGAAAGTCAGCTGCCCTTTTAGAAACAAGAATGTAAAAGTAAATTAAGATGTGACAATAAAGCAGAGGTCTTCAAACTTGGCAGCTTTAAGACTTGTGGACTTCAACTCCCAGAATTCTCCAGCCAGCAACTCCCAGAGTATTCTGGGAGTTGAAGTCCACAAGTCTCAAAGCTGCCAAGTTTGAAGACCTCTGCAATAAAGGGTAATATATATAGGTATGTAATTGCAGTATTGATGCATTGTATAGAATAGACATGTACACAAAAGGAAAGGAAGAATAACAAACTAATTTATATGTACTTAGGAGATATACTGATACCGAAGCACTGTAAAGATTGAAATTGTGATATAAAATGAAGAAAACTGTTTCATAAAGCTATTTTTAAAAAAAAGAAAGAAAGAAATATCTGCCCCATTAAAAAAACTTCACAGGGTCAGGGGGGACCCTGTTTCTTCCCAACCTGATAGCCCAGTAGAAGAAAGATAAGGTATTCCTTGCCTTGCGACCACAATTGAGCCCAACGTTTCTGTGGCTAAGTGAGACATGTATAAAAAAATGTATAAAATGTATTTTAAAAAAGTGGTGAGATTGCTTATTTGGGGGGTGTTATTGTTGTCCTTTTGGGGGGGGTGAAGAGGTGATCAAATTTCTAAGATGCCTTTGTTTAAAGCAGACATTTAAAAGAACTAAATCAAACTTGGAACATTGATGTAGTAACTGCATGAGGGGCCATGAAGTCCTAGTGGACAACCATTTAAATATGAGCCAGCCGTGTGCGGCAGCTGCCAAAAAAGCCAACACAGTTCTAGGCTGCATCAACAGAGGGATAGAATCAAGATCACGTAAAGTGTTGATACCACTTTATAATGCCCTGGTAAGGCCACACTTGGAATACTGCATCCAATTTTGGTCGCCACGATGTAAAAAAGATGTGGAGACTCTAGAAAGAGTGCAGAGAAGAGCAACCAAGATGATTAGGGGACTGGAGGCTAAAACATATGGAGAATGGTTGCTGGGTATGTCTAGTTTAATGAAACTAGACATATGTCACAACATAAGCCTAAGACTGAAAATCAGGCTTGTCAGATGTTACCTCTTTTCTATCCTGCTCTACGGAGTAGAAAGTTGGTCTCTGACAGAAAACCACTTGAAGAAACTAGAAGCATTTGAAATGTCAATTTACAGGCGGCTGTTACGTATAAGCTGGGTTAACAAAATCAGAAACAAGGCAGTGATAAGCCACCTGGGAAAGCCAAGGAAAATCATCAAAGCCATTAAAAAGCAAAAGTTAGAATATTTTGGACATGTGATGAGACACCCGGAAAAATATGGCATCCTTCACTTAATCCTCCAGGGAAAGATTGAAGGCAAACAAGGTCCAGGCAGAAGAAGAACATCAAGGCTTCAGAATCTAAGGGACCGGTTTGGACAAAACTCAGCAGCACTTTTTCGTGTGGCTGTTAACAAAAACAGGATTGCCAACATGATCACCTACGTCTGATGATGAATAAGTATAATGAAAAGAAGGACTAGGGGAGACATGATAGCAGTGTTCCAATATCTCAGGGGTTGCCACAAAGAAGAGGGAGTCAAGCTATTCTCCAAAGCACCTGAGGGCAGGACAAGAAGCAACGGGTGGAAACTAATCAAGGAGAGAAGCAATCTAGAACGAAGGAGAAATTTCCTGACAGTGAGAACAATTAGCCAGTGGAACAACTTGCCTCCAGAAGTTGTAAATGCTCCAACACTGGAAGTTTTTTCAGAAGACATTAGATAACCATTTGTCTGAAATAGTATAAGGTTTCCTGCTTAAGCAGGGGGTTGGACTAGAAGACCTCCAAGGTCCCTTCCAACTCTATTCTATTCTAAATGTGTTCCTGTGTGTGATGGGATCTGTCAAAACTCTGGGCACGTATTTCTACTTTACCTCTTCTAAGTAGCCAAGTTGAAGGTTTTATTTTGCTTCGCTGAATATTTAAAGGCAATGCCTGAGATTGCGTGATCACTTCGAAGTCTAAGCATTGTTTCTACTCAGCTTGATTTGGCCCCTTGTTTTCCTCTCTGCAATCCAAGGTTGTGGCTGCAGATTCTCGTGCTACTAGAACAAATGTTATTTCATTTCCATAAAACTTTCAACCTACTTTCCTCTTGTGGGCTGCTATTATAATCAAAACACAGATTGTTTAGAGGCGAAGGGAGAAGCTCCTCTATAATGCTCCTCTCATATAATCTGATTCAAATAAGTTCCGTTTTTTTAATAAACTATATGAAATTGCATTGTGGTGTGATTTTATATTACATTGTTAAACGGAACTGAGATGTTTGATTCTTTTTGCCTTGCTCTTAAAAGGAATTCAGGAAAAAAAAAAAACCAGAAAAAGGATTTTTATAGAGGAAAAGTCTCTTATTCAACAGCTTCCTTTGTTCTGCATCAATTTGTGAATTTCTTATACAGTTACTTTCTATCAGCCTGGGGGGAAAAATGGGAGGGAAGGGGAGAGAAGTTCTAAGGCAGTGATGGCCGGAATGTGCATGCATGTGCGTGCACATGCGTGTGCCAGAGTGCCAGAAACCCGAAGACCAGCTGGCTGGCGCACATGGCCAGCTGATCTTTGGCTTTCCAGCTCGCACATGCGCACCAGCCAGCTGATCTTCTCATGCGCCGAAGACCAGCTGGCCGACCCATACATGCCTGTTTTGGGGGCATTTTTGGGCCGTTTTCAGGCTGTTTTCCGACACTCTGGTGCCCATGAAGACCAGCTGGCTGGTGTGCACATGCGCGCTGGAAACCAGAAGAGCAGCTGGCAACGGCATGCATGCCCACAGAGAGAGCTCTGCGTGCCACCTCTGGCACATGTGCCATAGGTTCGCCATCCCAGTTCTACAGGTTCTAGAAAAATCTTTTTGTGTTTTTCTCCTACTTTTTTTCACTCCGTTTAATGGAATAGAAAAAGAGAGGTTTGCTTTAATTACCAAAGAGAGAAATTTTCTAAATTGTCCTGGGAGGAATGGTAGGTAGTCCTCAACGTACGACCGCAACCGAGCCCAAAATTTCTGTTGCTAAGTGAGACATTTGTTAAGTGAGTTTTGCTCCATTTTATGACCCTTTTTGCCACCGTTGTTAAGTGAATCGCTGCAGTTGATAAATTAGTCACCTGGTTGTTAAATGAATCTGGTTTCCCCGCTTGTCAGAAGGTTGCAAGAGGGGATCACATGACCTTGGGACACAGCAATGGTCATAAGTATGAATCGGTTGTCAAGCGTCTGAAATTCGATCACGTGATCATGGGGAGGCTGAGAAGGTCATAACTGTGAAAAACGGTCCTAAGTCACATTTTTCAGTGCCGTTGTAACAGTAAATGAACTGTTGTAAGTTGAGGACTACCTGTAGGGGTGCTCTTACTTAGTGACAAGGTCTCTGAAAGGGGCATATGTGTGAATTTCCTCTTTCTTTTTTTTTTTGCAAGTGATTGGGGTTTTCACAGAGTCAAAAAATTCAGGATGGCACAGGGCTGTGATGGAAAAATTTGCCAGTTTTGTTTTGTGTGTTTGCACACGCAGTGCACCTTTTCAAAGGAGAGAATTCAATCACAGTAACTTTTTTTTTTTACATCTTGACTCTTTTTAACCAGAATTGGAGACACCCATGCAAAGGATGCCAAGAGGACAATCCTCCCTGGAGTTAAGCAGCAGTTCTCCAGTCCAGTTAAGGGAGATCCTGCCTTGGAGAACAGAGCAGAGCAGAGCAGAGCAGAGCAGAGAACAGAACAAAAGGGCTGGAAGGGACCTTAGAGGTCTTCTAGTCCAACCCCCTGCATGAGCAGGAGACCCTACACCAGTGATGGCTAACCTTTTTGCCTTTGCATGCCAAAACTGGGGGGGAGCATGGGGGGTCAAGTCTGCACATGCCCATACCCATAATTCAATGCGCCCCACTCCCCGTGCATGCGCGACCCCCCCGTGCTCCCCTCCCCCCCCGGTTTTGGCACGCGATGGCACGGTGGGCCCAGTAGGCCCATTTTTTGTCCTCCGCAGGCTCCAGAGGCTTTCTAGGAGCCTGGGGAGGCCCGTTTCCCGACTTCCGGTGGGCCCGAAAGGCCCAAAAATCAATTGGCCGGAGCACGCATGCGTGCTGGAGCTGAGCTAGGGAAACGCTCATGTGTCCACAGATATACCTCTGCATACCATCTGTGGCACACATACCATAGATTTGCCATCATTCCAGATAAGTGGCTGTCCAGTCTCTTCTTAAAAGCCTCCAGTGATGGAGCAGCCACAACTTCTGGAGGCAAGCCGAGCCGTTCCACTGGTAGCTTGTCCTCACTGTCAGGAAATTTCTCCTTACTTCTAGGTTGGATCTCTCTTTAATGACCTTCCATTTGTTACTTCTTGTCGTGTTCTCAAGTGCTTTGGAACAATAACAGAAACAGTATAACAGAATTGGGGGTCTTCTAGTCCAACCTCCTGCTTGAACAGTAGACCCCATACCATTTTTGACAGGTGGCTGCCCAGTCTCTTCTTGAAAGTTTCCATCCGTTGTTTCTTGTTTAGCCTTCTGGTGCTTTGGAGAAAAGCTTGACTGCCTCTTCTTTGTGGCAGCCCCTGAGATATTGGAAGACTGCTATCATGTCTCCCCTAGTCTTTCTTTTCATTAAACTAGACATACCCAGTTCCTGCAACCGTTCTTCCTATGTTTTAGCCTAATTAGTCCCCTAATGACCCTTGTGGCTCTTCTCTGCACTCTTTCCAGAGAAAATGGGTTAGATGGGTGTGTTTCTCCTTCTGGAGAAATTTTCCACTCCATTGTTCTGCTTTGCAAGCCTAGCAAGAACACCACTTGTCTAAGTTCAAACAGCCCGTCTTTCAGCTCACTTTTCAAAGTAGTTAATTTTCTTTAAAAAGATTAAAACATGCAGGTAGTCCTTGACTTACAACCACAATTTCCACAATTTGTTAAGCAAGGCAGTTGTTAAGTTAGTTGTACCCAATTTTATTGTTCTTTTTTGCCCTGGTTGGTAAAAAAATCTCTGTAGTCATTAAGTGAGTTGGGCACTCATTAAGCAAATCTGCCCCTGAAACTGAAGATGATCACAGCAACATAATGAAATGCCTTTTAGAAGTTTGTCCTTCTCGATGCCCTTGTAAAAGGGAAGGGGTCAAGCTGTCTGCAATACAGTTCAGAGGACTGAGTCAATTTTCAAGGACCAAACCTAGGGACAGGTAACCTAACCATACTAACCAAGGAGAGAAGCAACCTGGAATTGAGGAGAAACTTCCTAACAGTGAGAACAATTAACCAATGGAACAGAAGTTGCCTTCAGAAGTTGTGGGTGCTCCATCACTGGAGGCTTTCAAAAAGAGATTGGACAGTCACCTGTCTGAAATGGTAGCGCTGGTGGCTGGGGGATTCTGGGAGTTGAAATCCACCTATCTTCAAGCTTCCAAGGTTGAGAAACACTGGTATAGTGTTTCTATAGTGTGTCTGAGCAGAGGGTTGGATCTTTATATTACTGCTTTATAAAACCTTAGTAAGGCCACACCTGGAACACTGCAACCAATTTTGGTCACCATACTACAAAAAAGACATTGAGACTTTGGAAAAAGTTCAGAGAAGAGCAGCTAAGATGATCAAAGGCCTGGAGGCTAAAACATAGGAAGAATAGCTGCAGGATTTGGGTTTGGTTAGTCTAGAGAAAAGAAGAATCAGGGGTGACTTGATAGCAGTGTTCCAGTATTTGAGGGGCTGCCACAAAGAAGAGAGGGGGTCAAATTATTCTCCAAAGCATCAGAGGGCAGGACAAGAAACAATGGTTGGAAACTAACCAAAGAGAGAAGCAATAGCAATAGCACTTATATACCGCCTCATAGTGCTTTTACATCCCTCTCTAAGCGGTTTACAGAGTCAGCATATTGCCTCCAACCACAGTCTGGGTCCTCATTTTATGCACCTCGGAAGGATGGAAGGCTGAGTCAACCTTGAGCCTGGTGAGATTTGAACTGCTGAACTGCAGCTAGCAATCAGCTGAAGTAGCCTGCAGTACTGCACTCTAAGTAGCCAGTGCATTACCTCGGCTCTTGGAAGCAACCTGGAATTAAGGAGAAACTTCCTAACAGTGAATACAATTAATCAATGGAACAGCTTGCCTCCAGAAATCGTAGATTCTCCATCATTGGAGGTTTTTCAGAAGAACCAGATAGTCACTTATCTGAAATAGTATACTGTAGGTTCTCCTGCTTGAGCAGAGGGCTGGACTAGTAGACCTTCAAGATCCCTTCCAGCTCTCTTATTCTGAATACACTGAGGGATGCATTGGGGGAAAAACAAAAAATTCAGGTTGTCTTCAACTTACCACCAGTCATTTCCATTCAAGCAAGAAAGTATTGGGAGAAAGTACATAATTGGCTTGAAGAGATAACTAAACAGAATATAGATTTGAAATCGGAATTATATCTGTTGGGAATAATACCAGAGGGTTACGATATAGGGATCACATCAGAGGTTGGTTTCAGCAGGTTCTGACCAGTTCTGGAGAACCGGTAGCAGAAATTTTGAGTAGTTCAGAGAACCGGTAGTAAAAATTCTGACTGGCCTCGCCTCCATCTATTCTCTGCCTCCCAAGTCCCAGCTGATCGGAAGAAATGGGGATTTTGCAGTATCCTTCCCCTGCCACGCCCACCAAGCCACGCCCACAGAACCGGTAGTAAAAAAAATTGAATCCCACCACTGGACCACATATTTAATTTTACGTATACTGACAGCAGCAAGGATTATATTTGCTAAATACTGGAAAAATGAAAACACTCTGCCAGACGGAGAAGTGATTCGGAAAATTTTAGAATGTGCTGAAATGGATAGGTTAACTTTTAAAATTAAAGATAAAGAAGACTCAGGATACTACCAGATATGGAACAGATTTTATGAGTGGCTAGAGAAAATGGGTAGGAATTAGAGGGAAAAAGACTATGAATGTATTAAAATAGAGATGGTTTTCAACTTTAAGTATGATAATCTACAAAATGTAAATAGATATAAGAAAACCCAGTTTAAACTATTTGGTTATACTAGTACAATTATATCTAATAAAAGTGTTATCATATTATAGTTCCTGTTACTAGTTACTGTTATGAGTTCATGTGTTAATATCTTTTTTTTTTATTCTGGTCTTTGTGTAACTGACATAACTGACACATCCTGCATTCATACACTGTATTCAAAAATGCTTATAAATAAAATATATATATACTACCAAAAAAAAGTCACTTACAATCGGTATCCAAAGTTATTACTGGGAAAAAAATAGGAGCATTGAACACTGACCTCCTCAGAGTGTCTGTTTTATTTTGCCAGCCCTGACTTCACAATCATGACATTCTCTCCTGCTTGACTTTTCCCGCTTGATTCATTCCCGTTGTTTGAAAGCAGATCTATAAATGGAACAATGTCTCTTCCTGCCTTTCCTATATCGATGCTCTCCTTTCAAATCATATGTGTACGGAACATAAATGTTGACCGCAAAGCACAAATATCTTCCTCTGCGTTCTTTCTAAGTCAGTCCTCAATCAATTTGTTGTCTTTCTTTTCTTTTTTCAAAGAAAAAGAGAATTTCAGGGAAATTACTCTGGGGATAATAAGATGTACTGGCTCTAAGTGAATTGCTCACTGGCCAAGCCTGCAGATGTCCTTCTCTTAACCAGAGAAACATTTCTCTGGTGATATGGAATCCCTGGCTTCCCACAATTTCATAGGAAGAAGTTGTTTGTTTGTTTGTTTGTTTGTTTGTGAATTAGTTAGGTTGGTTGGTTAGTTAGTTAGTTAGTTAGAAGTCAAACTGAAGTTTTTCTGCTACTCAGAATATTAGAAAAATGTGTTATTGGAAATATTAACAGCAGGACAGGTAGTCCTTGACTTACGACCACCCTTGAGCCCAAAGTTTAGGTAGCTAAGTGAAATATTTGTTCAGTGAGTTTTGTCCCATTTTACGACTTTTCTTGCCATCGCTGTTAAGTGAATCTAACTTAACATTTATTAAATTAGTCAGCTGGTTGTTAAGTGAATCTGCCTTCCCGATTGACTCTGGTTGTCCCGAAGGTCGCAAAAGTGAATCACATGACCCCGGGACTCTGAAACAATCAGATACAGATTAACAGAGTTGGAAGGGACCTTGTAGGTCATCTAGTCCACCCCCCCCCCCCCGCTGAAGTAGACTCTACAGCATTTCTGACAGATAGCAATCCAGTATCTTCTTGAAAGCTTCCAGTGATGAAGCTCCCACAACTTCTGAAGTCATAAATATGAACCAGTTGCCAAGCCTCTGAATTTTGATCATGTGACCATGGGGAAGCCGCAGAGGTCATAACTGTGAAAAGCGGTCATAAGCAGGGGTAAAATCCAGCAGGTTCTGACAGGTTCTGGAGAACCGGTAGCGGAAATTTTGAGCAGTTCAGAGAACCGGCAAATACCACCTCTGGCTGGCCCCAGAGTGGAGATTTTGCAATATCCTTCCCCTGGAGTGGGGTGGGAATGGAAATTTTGCAGTATCCTTCCTCTGGAGTGGGGTGGGAATGGAGATTTTGCAGTATCCTTCCCATGGAGTGGGGTGGGAATGGAGATTTTGCAGTATCCTTCCCCTGGAGTGGGGTGGGAATGGAGATTTTGCAGTATCCTTCCTCTGGAGTGGGGAGGGAATTCCCCCAGGAGTGGGGAGGGAATGAAGATTTTGCAGTATCCTTCCCCTGCCACGCCCACCAAGCCACACCCATAGAACCGGTAGTAAAAAAATCTGGATTTCACCATTGGTCATAAGTCACTTTTTTCAGTGCCGTTATAACTTTGAACGGTCACTAAATGAGCTGTTGTAAGTCAAGGACTACCTGTAGTCCCAGAGGTGCTTTTTCAAAAGGACTTTCTTTGTTTTTGCTTGAAGATGTTTCGCTTCTTATCCAAGAAGCTTCTTCCGTTCCACTAACGTTGTTTGCTTTTTAAATGATTTAAATTTCTGAAGAAGCTTCTCTTCAAAGAAAAACCAAGAAAGTCCAGTTGTCTTTTGAAAAAGCACTTTTGGGACAACCGTGACCTGGATGGCTGAGAATCTCTACAGACATTCACAGCAGTGGATCTCTTCAGCACCTGTACTACGAAACAAGCCTTAAAAACCCAGCCAAGAGGAATTTGAAAGAAGTTTTCAACCAGCCTGAGAATAAAGTAGAAAAACAGAAGCCATTTCACAGCAGGGGAGAAAAGGTCTGCGCAACCATTAAGGCAGGTTTCAAAACAACATTAAAAATGGACAAACCCACCACCGTTACCTGGCTTTGATGGATGTTCAGGAAGATCTTTTTATGGAAGGATGGAAGGATAACATTGAGCTCCACAAGAGGAATGCTTGTTTGTCTCAAGTTTGTCTTTCTGGCAGCTTTTTTTCATGGGCCACAACGGACACCCAGAGAGGGAAAAATGAACTCTCCAGGACACCCTGAGATTTAATGAGAGCTCGAGAGTTCGTCCCTCTAGGAAAAGACACAGATTTCTGCAAAGAAGCCCAGATGCCAAAGAGGAGGAGAGGGGTAGAGGAGGAGGAGGGACGGCTGCAAAACAGCCACGTCACGGAGAGCATTTCCTTCTACTTTCTCTCTCTTTCTGGACCAGTTTGTTGTTGCTCCGTCCTTCTCCTCTATCTTGAGGAGATTTTCACAGCAGCCAAAACAGAAAATTGTTGATTCTGAGGGCCAAGCTGGAAATCTGCCATCAATTTCCACGGGAGCAAATGGATGGCACAGGACACTCCTCTCAATCCTTCTGCCCTTCTCCTTCGAGGGATCAAAATACACACTGAGCTGCACACATTATTTATTTGGAAGATGTGCCTCCAGAAACTTAAAACATGCTTCCAAACATTGAATGGAAATGTTTACATTTGGTGTGTATGTATGTATATATAGATATATAGATATATATATGTATGTATGTATGTATGTATGTATGTATGTATATTTAGAAGGCATTTTTTTAAAGGAACATTGGGGAAATTTATGTGCGTCTCAAGAAAATATAGGAGAGAAGCTATTTATGTGTTTAGGAAAATGTTCTACGAGTTATGGAATACCTGGAAATAACAAATCTGCAATTATTATTTTTTTTCAGTAGATTGAAAGAATAAACGATTTTATAACATTACAATCACTGAAAACCTGAGACACCCGCAGGATTCTGATTTATACGAGTTGCACAGCTGGTTATTTATTGCTCAATATGTTATCACTGATACCCTGTAAAATTATCGCTGCCCAGGGAGGCCAGGAACAGGGAAGGAAAGGGGGGAATGTAAGTACCAATCCTGTAAAAAAGATCCATTTGTTCAATCTTCAGCGTCAGTCTGAAACTAGGACTGGTGTCTCAGCTTCCTTGGCTGAGGTTCTTCAGTTGTGGTTGTGGGAAGGAAGGCCCAAAAGGAAAAAAACCAGGTTGGAAAACCAAATACATAGGAATATACCCTGTTTCCCTTAAAATAAGACCTCCCCTGATAATAAGCCCAATCGGGCTTTTGAGGGCATGCACTAAAATAAGCCCCTCCCCAAAATAAGCCCTCCCCGAAAATATTTAACCACATGCACAGCTGGTCCCCGCCCTTTCCTCTGGTTAGGGTTAGGGAGACAGAGCTGGAAATCAGCTAAGATGGCAAGAGGAGCCCCCATCTTGTTCCATGCACCCCAAAATAATAAGACCTTCCCGAAAATAAGGCCAAGCGCTTATTTCGGGCTTCAAAAAAATATAAGACAGGGTCTTATTTTCAGGGAAACACAATAATAGAAATATCAACATAGAAATAGGAAAAGTGTAGAATAGGTGGTACCTGGCTCAATACTAGTAACTGTGAGAGGGATCTTGGAGTGCTAGTGGACAATCACTTAAAATATGAGCCAGCCGTGTGCTGCAACTGCCAAAAAAGCCAATGCAATCCTAGGCTGCATTAACAGAGGGATAGAATCAAGATCGCGTGAAGTGTTAATATCACTTCATTGTTGTAACCTAGGCTCCCTAAGTCATTAAAACATATGAGTAGTCCAAAAATCTCTTTAATTTTAACAGCTGTGAATTATGTTCATTCACAGCTGAGTCCCAATTAGTTGCAAAAAGTTCTTCAGGAGAAGTCCTTCAGGATAATCACCAACCTTTATCTCCCTTGACACTCTGCCAAAGACCTACTTGGCAAAGCCACATGGAGTCCAGAATCAAACAGAGATGCTGACTGGGAACAGAATTAACAACGTTGCTTTCCTGCAAAGGGCCCATATGCCTTTGCTCCTCTTTTAAGCCTAATGGGAGGGGCCAATCATCTCCAGGCCTTACTCCTGAGTCGTCCCTTTTGTTTTAACTGTTCTTGCCTTCTGGCAGCTCTGGGCATGCATGCACTAGGAACAGGCTCCTCCTGTTCCTCTGCCTCTCTGCTGTGCGACTCTGGAGGCTCCGGAGTCTGCGAATAACTCCCAGATGGCCCTGGCCCCATCTCTGCCTCTGACACAGAGCCCTCATCCGAGCCTTCCCCAGATTCCAGGACTGGCCCATGTTCCTCCCCAGCCTCCTCACTGTCTAACTTTGCTGCCAGCTCTGCAGGCTGCTGGCGGACCACAACATTTATAATGCTTTGATAAGGCCACACTTGGAATACTGCATCCAGTTTTGGTCACCACAAAATGAAAAAGACATTGAGACTCTAGAAACTAGAGTGCAGAGAAGAGTAACAAAGATGATTAGGGGGCTGGAGGCTACAACATATGAAGAATGGTTGCAGGAATTGAGTAGTCTGGTGAAAAGAAGGACATGGGGTGACATGTTAGCAGTCTTCCAATATTTGAGGGGCTGCCACAAAGAAGAGGGAGTCAATTCTATTCTCCAAAGCACCTGAAGGCAGGACAAGAAGAAAGGGGTGGAAACTAATCAAAGAGGTAAGCAACCTAGAACAGTGATGGCTAACCTTTTTGCCATCGCATGCCAGGAAGGGGGGGGCGGGGGAGGTTTGCGCGCGCACGTGCCCACACCCATAATTCTGTGTGCTTTAGACTCCTAGAGAGGCTCTGGAGGCTGGGGACAGCAAGAAAATCACTTCCTGTCCAACCGGAAATTGGGAAACGGGCCATTTTGGGCCTCCGGAGGACCTCCGAGGGGGTGGAGAAGGCTGTTTTTGCCCTCCCCAGATGCATAGAGAGGATCTGGAGCCAGGTGAGAAAGAAAAATGGGCCTTTCGCCCCCCGCCCCCGGCCCTCCGGAGGCAGGAAACAGCCTGTTTTCCTACTTTTGGTGGGCCCAGAAGGCCTGAAAATCAGCTGGCTGGTGCACGCATGGCGCTGGAGCTGAGCTGGCGTGCCAGGTGACATGTCTCTGCATGCCACCTGTGACACACGTGCCATATGTTTGCCATCACAGACCTAGAACTACTAAGGAGAGATTTCCTGACTGTGACAACAATTAATCAGTGGAACAGCTTGCCTCCAGAAGTTATGGATGTTCCAACACTGGACTTTTTAAAGAAGAGATTGGACAACCATTTGTCTGAAATTGTATAGCATTGCCTGTTTGAGCAGGGGGTTGGACTAGAAGACTTCCAAGGTCCCTTCCAACTCTATTATATTCTTCCACTCCTCTAAACTCACCCCAGGAGCCCCCCTCCTGCAAATGTCCTTTCTGGATGTAGTTGCTAATGGATCAGACAAAAAGAACGTGTTTGTGATGGGCTCTTCATAAAGCTTTGATTACAGAAAGGATTCTGTTAATCTTTTCAGAGTGCTGCTCGCAAGACTATTAATACCACTTAACATCCCGCAGAGAGAAACTAATCTCTAAATCCGTTTCTAAGCTGCGGCAACTTTACGGTGTGGGGACTTCAACTCCCAGAATTCCCCAGCCAACCAGCCAGCCTGCCCCAGCAACCCCTGCTAGCTGGGGAATTCTGGGAATTGCAGTTCACATATCTTAATTTTATCAAGGTTGAGAAATCCTAGGGCGGAGAGAGAAAGATGATATCTCTTGCTAAAGATTTAGCTTTTCACACCTGTGGGAAGCCCCCGCCCCACCCCCTCCTAGAAAAACAAAATATTTTGGGAAATATTAAAAAGGCAGAATATTATATTTCCCTAAAGGAGAAATGGAGCAACATGCTCTTAAAGACAGAAAGCAGCCCCAAGTCTCTCATAATAGCCCACAGCAGATGCCAGCATTTAAGAGATTAAAGATCTTATTGAAAGAGGAAGACAACTATCTAGATGGCTCTATTCATAAGCAAAGCAAACACTGCAAGCAGAAATCCATTCAAGACAGGATATTTCGAAACTCTTTTCAGCAGAGCTAACAAAGGCAGAATGGTAGGATTATTAGAACAAGCAGCCCCTCACCCAAGATCCAACACAACACAGGACGAAAGCCATTAAGCTACAATAGGAATTGCCCAACACCCTTTCAAAACACAAGTCCCTTCATTGCACCACCCCCAAAACAGTTCCAACTTCAAAGTCACAGCAACCTGTAAAGATCCATTCACTCCTTTAACCATTGGTTCAGCTCAGTGATGGGTTTCAAAAATTTTAACTACTGGTTCTGTGGGCGTGGCTTGGTGGGCATGGCAGGGGAAGGATATTGCAAAATCTCCATTCCCACCCCACTCCAGGGGAAGGATACTGCAAAATCTCTATTCCCTCCCCTCCTGGGGGAAGGATATTGCAAAATCTCCATTCCCTCCCCACTCTGGGGCCAGCCAGAGGTGGTATTTGCCGGTTCTCCGAACTACTCAAAATTTCTGCTACCAGTTCTCCAGAACTGGTCAGAACCTGCTGGATTTTACCCCTGCTTGGAAGGTGTGGTATGGCTTGGTGGGTGTGGCATGGGAAGGATACTGTAAAGTCTCCATTCCCACCTTACTCCAGGGGAAGGATACTGTAAAATCTCCATTCCCTCCCCACTCCAGGGGAAGGTTACTGCAAAATCCCCATTTCCTCCCGATCAGCTGGACCTCAGGAGGCAGAGAATAGCTGGGGCCAGGGCCAGTCAGAATTTTTACTACCGGTTCTCCAAACTACTCAAAATTTCCGCTACCAGTTCTCCAGAACTGGTCAGAACCTGCTGAAACCCATCTCTGGTTCAGTTGACCCAGAACTGCACCCTGTCTTTGTGGTTCTGTTCAATAAACCATCTTTCCAATCAGTCTCCATGTTGTTCCCAGCTTCTTTCTCCTGGCTTGGAAACTGAATCAGATTCCTTCCAACACCCAGCACTGTTTCAGAGGAAAGAATGAAGAAAAAAGGAGAAGAAAGGGTTTCTCTTCATTTCTGGAGAAAAGCTTTTGCAGGAGAAGAAGGGCTTTTGCCAAAGGACAGGCTGACCAGCCCCAAAGTTGACTTGGGCTATGAAAGGGAGTTGAATCATACTTTGGATGTGATCACAGCTCTTTCTGTGGCAGCTGTATTCTCGGCCAGAGACATGCTGGCTTGACTGCCTAGTTCAGGACAAATATTTCTCTACAACTGGATCTTTCTCTCTAAGTGGGTCAGATGC